ATGCCAAGCTCATTGTTGGTCCAGCCGTTCTTAGAGACAGTAATGACCCAGTCGTGAGGTATAGATGGCTCCTTGTACCAAGCAGAGAGGTGGTGCTTGCCTTAGAAGATAACAAAAGGTAGGATACTCCACCCTAACGCGTTGATGCCCTGGATAATGCTGGTCCACTCTCAGTCGCCCTGCTGTACTGTCTTTGGCCTTCCTCGACGCTCAGAGCCTGTGACAACAGCTCCTGTTGATATAACGCCCATCATAAACCTAGACTTGTCAAAGTTGTAGGTGTCTTCATCTAGGATACCATACTTGGCTTTAGTATTCTCTACTAGGTGGAACCAGCCCTAGATTACCTTAGGATCCTCGCAGAGGGCTCTCTTGTAGTCGTACTTTTGATTGAACTTGACTGTAAGCTCTAGGCGACGCTTAACAAAGTTGGCAGCCCAGTTCTTGCTAATAGGAGGCTGGTGGCGCTCAGTGAGTAGAGAGTTGGCCATATCCTCCACATCAGTGAGCTGGGGTGGATATCCTCGTTCATCCAGCTTTAATATATGCTGAACAATCACATCCTCCTCAGTGCTTGTGAGCTTTATTGAATTGACCTTGCAGTCGCGTCGTGGAGAGGCTCCAGCCAGTTGGTCACTAAGAGTCCTTTAAGGCACTCTGTAGATCTTTGCAGCGCGTTGCTAGGAGAGTGTCGCGTCGCGTTTGATAGCCTTAATAGCAAGCTAAATATCTGCTTTATTTGAGGGCTTTTTCGCGTTCTTGTGTTGAACCATTACAAGTTGTGTGAAGTTGGGTGTGGTCTTGGGAAAAGTGAGCGGCTCGCTTGGGTGAGCGGCTCGCTTGTGGAGTACGTTATATTTTTTTTTAGACGCTGATTGCAACTGCAAATAGTTTAAATTGTTCAATCAGCAGGCAGACCTGCTAAGGAAACGAAGGTACTCAAAAGACATAGGTAAGAGATAGCAGGCAAAGCCTACAACTCTAGGTAATAATCCTTCCACATGTTCACCTACGGAAACCTTGTTACAACTTTTACTTCCTCTAAATAACTAGGTTTGACGAACTTTCTAGCTTGGAGTGGTTGTTGCTACCCTCTCTGAGCCAGTCTGGAGGCCTCACTGAGCCATTCAATCGGTAGTAGCGACGGGCGGTGTGTAAAAAGGGCAGGGACGTAATTAACGCATGCTGATGACATGCGCTTACTAGGTATATCTCGTTGAAGAGCAATAATTGTAATGCTCTATCCCCAGCACGACAGAGTTTAACAAGATTACCCAGACCTTCCGGCCAAGGTGAATAACTCGTTGGCTCTGTCAGTGTAGCGCGCGTGTGGCCCAGAAAATCTAAGGGCATCACAGACCTGTTATTGCCTCAAACTTCCATCGGCTTGAGCCGATAGTCCCTCTAAGAAGCCGGCGACCAGCCAAAGCTAGCCTGGCTATTTAGCAGGTTAAGGCCTTGTTTGTTATGGCAATTAAGCAGACAAATTACTCCACCAACTAAGAACAGCCATGCACCACCACCTGAAAAATCAAGAAAGAGCTCTCAATCTGTCAATCCTTATTTCATCTGGACCTGGTGAGTTTCCCCGTGTTGAGTCAAATTAAGCCGCAGGCTCCACGCCTGGTGGTGCCCTTCTGTGAATTTCTTTAAGTTTCAGCCTTGCGACCATACTCCCCCTAGAACCTAAGAACTTTAATTTCTTGTAAGGTGCTGAGCGAGTCAGAAAAAGAACATCGCCCGATCCCTAGTCAGCATAGTTTACGGTTAAGACTACGACAGTATCTGATTGTCTTCAATCCCCTAACTTTTGTTCACTAATTAATGAAAACATTGTTACAGTAACATGGTTGGCAAGCGAGTCGGTCAGACAAGCAAGTCAGTCACCCCACCAACTTTTGCAACTTTAAAGCGATATATCTTAACAACGCAATAATATTATTGCTAGATATTAATATAGTAGACTACTCTATATTAATAGTATCAGCGTTGCATGTGCGCGAGTTGTGCCCAGTCTCTTTACACCTAGTGCAGCGCCTTTGAGCGCGCTGGCTGAGGCCTGATCGCGCTCCTCCTTGACGCTCTTCATGAGCAATCTGCTGGTCAGCCTCATTTTGAGCCAGTATATCCTCTCCAGCTCCCTTTGTAAGTACTCCATGCTTCTGTATACGCCTTTTAGAG